AGCGGGGCAGGGGGAGGATGGGAAGATAAAAAAAGTCAGTCTAAAAAGTTGCAGAGTACTTTAAATAGAGAAAATAATTACTCTCTTCCTCTGGAAAGGAAATTGCAAAACACAGCTCAAGATGCATTTTGAAATCTATACAAGAAATAACAAAGAACCCAGTCAAAAATCATTATGCATCACTGAAAGGGTAATCTGTTATGCATTTCAAGAAAAAAAGAGGCTTGTTTATAAGATTTGGCATTATGAAGAAAAACAGTTACCAACAAGATGACTACTTTGTAATTCCTCTGCTATAAGAATGATGAGCTTGAAAACAAAGTTTCTGCCAAACTTTTTCCAGTTATTGAAGAACAAAATGGGTACTAAGACGGTTACAGAGGAATAACAGCAACTTACAGAAACCTCAACAGGCATGTCTTCATATTCTTTAGCAATTGCGTTTCTGAAAGTTTCATTCCTCTGCTGAAAAGCTTCTATAGTATTCTGAAGCGCCTAAGGAAACAATGGATAAATTCCTCAAACATATTACACTTAAAACAGACTCTCTGCATTCTGACCATTTATTGATTAGCAGAGGGAAGCTACAGCCAGAAAACATGAATGTTACTTTTTTGATTGCTTCAGTGAAAAAGCATTTAGAAAATAAAGAAGGTAGATGAATTTACCTTTATCCATTCTTCCTTATCTTGTTCAGAACTAAAAGAAATATTTGACATATTAGTCCAAAACTAGTTCAGGAAACATTATCTCACTATCAACAACTTCTTGCAAAAGCCTAGCTTCTGAAGTAATTCTCAGGAACTTAAATTAAAACAACACTAATTGTTAACTGTCCAACTTAAAAAAAAAAAATCAAACAAAAAAAAAAACAAAACCAAAAACTCTCCAGAAAACAAAAGCATGACTTCAGGCTTCACAAGTTTGCAACCATTAAGCAGTGAATTCAAGTTGAAAGATAAATGTAAATGCATTTAAAAGTAGTAATAGTATTTGCATTATTAGAGTTTTTTTTTGAGAACATGATAGAGAGGAAAAGAGGACAATGCTTAATTTAGGTGTGGGTGGTTTTTTTTCTCCTCTCATTTCATGCACTATCAAGTTCACATGCTAACACACATTTCTCCTGTGTATCTCTTAAATCTTCCTCCCTCCCCAACAAAAGTAATTTCCTTAACACTTTTCTTTGCTGCTGTTGTTTAAACTTGTGTATAGTGGCAAGAAGAGTATCCAATTAAAACAAAAGGAAAACTCTGCTTTAATAATAGAAACCAAACAGCAGAAATTTCCCTGATGTGCATTAGGGCAGATACAGATACCTTAACAGTAAGTACAGATGAGATATACAGACAAGATATACAGAGGAGACAGAGATGAGAGAGGAAGCATATTCAACTCTGATCTTGTATGACAGCTTTGTCTTTAAAATGTATCAGCAGGACTTTGACATTCAAATCTTTGGAAAAACGTCTTGTATCACAAGTAATAATACTGTTAGAAACTACTGGCCAGTGTTGGTAGCGAGTACAGTTTATCTGCAAACTTTAAGGCAGAAAGATGAGAATTAGAACCACAGTAAATCTGGCTCTTCAAAAGTGGCTTCTTCCTTGGATCATGATGTGGGAAAAAAAAAAAAAAACAAAAAAAAAAACCAACTTCTGTAGCCATGCAATATCAGCCATGCAAAATTGTATTTTTCTATGGATTACTATGAAGGATGTGAAAGAGAGCTTTTACAGCATCTCAATAAAAATGGCTCCTCATATGTTGTTTCACAGTATTAGTACAACTTTTAAGCAAGCAGAATCCTAAACAAGCGCTTCCCCTTCCCACCTACCATCTGCACACGAGGCAGAAGAAACCTGTCTAAACAGCCAAAATAATTCTCCCTACCTGCTTACACTAAAAAACAAAAGCTGAGCTATTAAATGTCATACCAGATCAGCAACCTCTCAAAGAAATAATCTAGCAGCTGTTTAAAACCAATGATTGACAAAGTACTCAAATAGTATTCTGAAAAATAAATAAATAGAAGCCTACTAGTAAAGAAAAACCCAAGGGTAAACTAAACATTACAACACTGTTAATACAAGCTCATGAATCAAGGACATTAAGGTATAAGGTACATAAAATACTCATACATTAATTGAGATTTTTCTAATATAATTGAATAATATCTCGTTTGGTACTTATTCCTTCACAATTTTGTACAGACAAGGCATTCTAAAAAATGCTTGTAAAACAAAACAAAACATGAAAACATGTTCTTCTCACACCTAAAATAAACTAATGCAATAAACTTTTAATTACTGATAATTCGGGAAAGTTGACAAAATAAACTTACTTTGTTGCAGCACTTTTCTTCCAGTTAAAAAGTACTTCACAAACAGTACAGTGAGATGCCATCTTTCACCATTGAAATGGACGTATGGTGTGACAACTTGCCAAATACTTAGCAAGACATCATACAGCAATTTATAGTAGATGCGATTGATAGCCAAACATATGCCCCAAAAGTCTTGCAGAGCTCAGTGGAAAGCTTTTTGCTGTCATTTTTCAAAGTATATATTTAATTTCAAATTCAATTATAGTGTAGGTATATTTCTACATGCTGTCATATTTCTATATTCACTGCTGTTACTCTCATCAAATATTACAAATTTTTTTCCATAAAGGAAAGTAGCTTGCAAGCTCGTTTGCTAGCAAGCTATGGTTTGTCCCCAAATACACGGTGTCAACACAGAACTGTATCTACCATGGATATCCTCCTGCTTATTTAATCCTTGCCTCTCTGCAATGAAATCCTGACTGCTAAGAACAGGATCTTTAAGCAGGTCCAAAAGGAGAGGTGGAGCACCCTACTTTATTTGAAGTGGGGCAGTCTAGACGGGGAAGGTTTAGTCTAGGCAATGCAAAAAGCAGCAATGGGAAGGTAACCCAGCAAGAAGAGGACAGGAGGACTAACAAGGAAAGCAGAAAAGTGCCAGTCAGAAGAGTGCAATTGGAGGAAAAGGACCCAAGAACTATAAGGAGAACTTGCCTTCCAGAGTGAGGTTGATACCTGGGACCAGAGGAAAACACGTAGACTGGAACCAGGCTTGAGGAATGGAGGAAAGCAGGTGCCCATCTGCCACTGTGGAAAACTATGTTCTGTGGACATATCCCCACTGGGGTGGGGAGTTTCGTTGGGTGGGCATGCCCTGAGGTGGACAGACCCATTTTTACCAAGGTGGCTCAGGTACCAGAGGCAGCAGCACTGCTCAGAGATTAACACACTTGGTGTCCCAAAACACTTAAGTCAGACAGACTGCCTTTGCATCAGTTAGGTACGCTGCTTTCAATTTTCCAGCCAGCCCTTTCACAGCTATCTTGGGTATTTCCGCAAGGTAAGGCAATGCACTATATACTGTAGGTGCATCTTCTATTCCAAGAGATTCTTGGACTGGTAATTTACGTTTTTGGCAGCCTCGGCCATTTTCAAAACACTGACATTAAGATGAAGCCCCCTGCATCTTTATCCATGTCTATCAGTCCAATCTTTTTTGTGTATGTACTTAATCCTCCAAAAATTAGATAAAAAGACTTTGCGTACCTGGCCTGCAACTCCAGTGTTCGCTCTTTTCCAGACACTTGAAAAGTATGTGGATATTCTTCATTATGAGTTTCTATAATCTTCATACCATCTATGCCAACTCTGTTTCGAACTGAGAACTTTGATCCTACCAAGCTGAATTTGGGGACGCAGTAGAGCAACATATTGTTAAACTGGGAAAAAAATAAACACATGGCCTTGCATTAACAAAACCACAGACGTAGATATCTGAGACAGTGTCACAAAGCTGGACTCAGTGGGTGAGAAAGCAGGTTCTTTCCTGCTTAGTTGATACACGAGAAGACCAAAGCTCTCATGCAAGACAACTCCTTTTTCTTATTTGGTTAGAAATAGGATTAAAGGACGGCTTCAGTCGATATAAGAATAATTGCTCTGTATATACAGCAGTCTTCACAGCATTTATTACCAACTATAGTCAGACTAGATGTTTTATACCATTGTAAACCTTCTGTTAGAAAAACCCCATTCTTATGCCCCAATTCTGCAAAACCTACTCTAAACGGCAGAATAAGAACTCTTTTCTTCAGTGTATACGTTTATATTTACCCTGAACCAAAAACATTTGGTTTTGTAGAAGCTGTAACCAATATTATTTGAGGGCATTATTTGTCTTTTCTCCAAGATAGGAGGACATTTCTGTCTTACAATTTTCATTCACTGAAACACTCAATATCACAGGGGGAAAAAAAAAAAAGTACATGAGCAGGACAAAGAAATATTCCTTTATTAAAGGTCAGAACTTTAAATAATGTTTAAATGTCTAAAGCCCCAGCCCAGAATCACAGTTATTAGATCTATAGTTTTTAAGTTTCGCACATTTTCCCCTCACATTTTCTCACAATTAATTATTGTTTCAGTCAATTCATATTTCATAGAAATCCTGTCTAGCCTATTGTCTAGTCTGTATCACAGATACAGCACATTTGAACTTGTCACCTCTCATATGAAGTGCACATCATTTTAATCAGCTATCTAGCCCCACTTGAGGTCTTAGGATTCAACGGTTTCTCCTTTCATTTGAAGCACAGATAAGTAGGAGTTGTGCCTCAACAACCCATTACTAGTCTTTATTAACCAGAAGACATGCAATGCCAGAGGTCCATAAACAAAAATGTACTAGGACTTTTTAATGCATGGGAAGCAATGAACTACATCAAACTTTTTCCAAGAGAGCTGTAAGGGAGCGTGGTTGTAGTTTGTCACTTCCAAGACAGGACACAGGCACCTGACAAGAGGACGACCTGCCACAATAACAAGCTCCCACAGGACCATGAGACCTGCTGGGACGTCAACACACACAATCTATCAGGACTATAATCCTAAGCTCTTACATTTCAGTTTCATGAGAACATCAAAGTTCTCATGCTCTAGGACCTGCACTTATAATCAGTAGCCACTTATTTAAAAGTGAGTTGCTGGATGCTGGTTCCATTTATTTAAAACCATGTATTCTATTCTAAATGGCATTTTCAAGCCCTTCTGTAAGCAGTGTAAGGTTTATTCGTGCTCTAATATCACTAGTGAAAAGACACTGACATCAACTAGAGAGGATTTCCCTCTCTCTTTGGTCGTTCTTTCAAGTCTAGAAAGGTATACAGCCACTCCTGCAAATACAGGCCACCATACTTACTAGAAAAAGGTACCGTTCTTGAGCAGACGTATTGCGAGCAGCGAGTTTAAGGATCTGTCCTTCTTTTATCAGCTCATTCGAAGGGTTCACAATGTCTTCCTCTTCTCCCAGCATTTCGTATATCTCCAACAATTTCTTTAGATTCTCCTTTACAGTGAAAACACAGTTATAAAACTTATTAATTAAAAATGTAGATCTTTGAGCATGTTTAAATGAAATGATGGGAGCTAGTGTAAAACTGGAGAATGTTAGCTCTGAAAAACACATATATGCCCAGTATGTATGGTCAGCCCTGCGGATTGATTAACATAGTTGATGCAGCAACAAGTACTTTTATCTCCATGGTAATTTAAAAAATGCAGTTATACATACCACCTGCGTTATTTTTTGTCCAAAATATCTCACATACTTAATGAAGTACCTATCATGTCACCCCAATATGGTACAGAAACAGTAACTACTCTTTACAAACATTATCTTTCCACTGATGGAAACAGATGAAACAAGGTTAAGAGTCCAACACAGGGTCAGCTATTTGAGCCAGGAGAGGAACCTAGTCTGTCCTGTTTTCCACTTGAGAGAATTAAGCACAATGCCAAATTTTGTCAATCATTCTCAGGAGCTGTATAAATACATTAAGTAGGAGCAATCACTTGAACCCAGGAAACCCATTTTTGCCATTATAGGGAAGACTTGCAATTCACACTCCTAGCTTCACCAAATACTCAATTATAACATATTAAAAAATGAACAAGGAAACAAGGATCATTTACCATTTTTCTTATTGCACTATTAGAGTGACTTGCTGCAGTGGATATAATTTCCAGGGATTCTAGACAGAAGAAAAAGAAAAAAGTTAAACAAAAAAGGCTGCATTTTTACATATTTATATATTACATAGCAGAAAAATAGATCATTCTATGAAATTATGTTTGCCACTTTTATGTAAATTACAACACTACAATAAATTTCTTAAATTATCCATAAAAACTAACCAAGGTAAAGTGGAAACCATAAGAAAGTCAGCTAGCAAAAAGAAATTATCATCTGGAAAGATCAGAAGAGAATTATTGCAGATTACATTAGAGCTTAAGCACTTAGAATTTTTTGTGACATGAACAGTCATGGTTCTCCATCCTCTTTTCTCAAAGTAGTCCAGAATGTCACACTACGTTTTTTAGTTGAAACAGCTCACATAACAAATATTTACAGTAACGGTACTAAAAATGAAATATTTCAGAAAATTATCTGGCAAGTAATTTTGAACAATCCGTGGAAAAAGCTTGAACTATTCTTGTGCAAATACAGAGAGGAATAAATTTTAAAATGGGCTGATCTTTTTCCATACAATAACTCCACTTTTTTTACAAGTAAGAGATATACATTCCAAATGTGCATAAAGCAAGCAAAAATGCTGACAAAAAAAAAAAAAAAAAAAAAAAACCCACCACAACCCCTGAACATGCACAAAGCAAACAAATTTTGCACTGTTGCAAAACTTAGGTACTCCAGGAGGAGAATACTAAAGGCTTTATTTTAACTTCATCCACTATTCAAACAGATTTTTTTCAAAGAATCCTAAAACTCCACTGAAGAAATTCTATCATTCTTTTCAGAGGAACTTTGCTGCTTCACTTTATTTTTACTGAAAATATCTTTAATTTGCAGTATCCTCTTACTAAATATCTTATTACAGCTCTTTTAATGGCTCAAAGATACTTACTTTCAGCATCTTTCCAGTCTAGGGAATCCTGAGGCAATTTCCTTAGGTAGTCCTTTAGAAGCATCTCATAGCGTGGAATGCGTTGTACTGGTTCTAGCATGTGATGTTGCAATGTCAAATTTCCACACACTTTTTCCTTCTAAAAAATTGTCAACGTATTTCAATGTAGCAGGCAAAAATGTTATTAGGATATAGTAAAATAAAAGTTATGATTGATAAAACAGAAATAATGTATTTTGAAACATGCATGAGAAACTTTCTGAAAGAAAATAGAACTACTTTACCAAACCAAATAATTGGAAATTCTTTCCTAAAAATAATTGTAAAAAGAGTTTTCTAAGCATCCAGTAGAATTCAAAAATAAAAGTCCTACCAATAAAAGCTCCCAAACTCTAGCGTATTTTAACTTAGTTTTGTGATAACTCAGACAAAAGAATTACAACTGAATTAATAAGAGCAGTTCATGACCATGTATTAGAAAACAACTCTGAAAATAAACCTTTATAGCTCATTTATCTATCTGAGAAGGGAGTGCCGCCTTGGAGTTTCTTTTATAATGTAAACCCCCCTCAGCTGTGTTTTAAGATGCATATTCATTTCCATAATCTTAGATGTAATTAAAAGATTAAATTAAAATACACATAGTTGTCTTCCCTGGCTTAGAATCACAAGACCCTATACAGCAGTAAAATTTAAGTAGAAATACTTTATCCTATTTCTAGCTGTTCAGTCTGCAGAAGACACATACCTGCCAATTCAGAGAGAAACCTACAGGGAGCACTAGAGGGCATAAAACGCACCTTTGAAAAGAATGGTGCATTGCTTAACTGTTAAGCTTTCTTTACCTTTTGTGGCTCAGCATTTACGATTATATACTTACTTCCAAAGTGTAGTGCTCTGCATAACAGCACTGGTGTGAGCCAGCAGAATACTTACAGATTCAGTGCAAGGATCGATAGTTGCACTGGTAGGTCATTTTACCTTAAAACAGTATTTACTTTTGGCATCTACAACAAAATGTAGTATTTTTTTAGTCTTCTCATGTTTCAGTCTTTATGCTTTGGTCCTATATGTTGCACTGGAAAGGCTGGATTTGTGTGCGTATTTGTGCACGTGTGAAGGGAGAAGGAGAAGAAACAGAATGCGGTGTGAAGCAGACAAAACCAACAACCCTTAAGTCTAAGGGATTTGGTATTTGGTTTTCTCTTTAATCCGCTTTTCACCCACAAATCTATATATTTTTATATATGCTTGTATTACTTGGAGATCTACATTATTCTTCCCATTACCTGAATGTCTTGAATAATGAATTTGAATTGAGGTGACCGTTCAGTCCACGTTTTCACCAGTTCCATTGCGTTATCAAAATTCTTCACATATTCTCCATACATCTTGAGGAAAGGAGCTAACTTTTGCAGAATATCTCCAATTCTGGGGGTGGTAGTCCTGCAAAGTAAGAGGGCGGAATCTCAGAGCAAACAGGAAAGAAATTCACACAAAGTTATAAAATGGTTACAAGCGTTTAACAGAGAATCCTTCTGTTTGCGATCGCCTCATATAGATTGCCAATGTAACCATTAAAACTGACCTGAGTTAACATGGAAGACTGTTTATATCCTCTTTGATCATGTATAAGCATGATAGGTCACATAGAGCACTAAAGAAAGAAAAGCTATCTATAAAGAAAAACTTGAAAAGCTTTGTTTACAAAACATGACCTAATTTATTTTATTTGCAGTTCCTTAAAACTACATTATCTTCTTTTGAGCATACTTTACCCTCTAAATAGCTAACCTGTGGTTTTGTTTGAGGACTAAATCCATACTGTACAGCTTCCCTTCTGTGCCTTATATAAATACATGTATTCACAACTTTTAAAAATCATTATTTATATAAGAAAACCTATGAAGTACAGAGAATCCCTTGGATTCCAGTCTTTTGTGAGAACTTTCCCATACCTTTCCCAATTATTGATAGCATCTTCAAATAAAACAGAATAGCGAAGAAACTGATGGAGAGGCAGAGAGAAGCTGCACTCTCGATGCACACAAAGAAAGCGGAACGGCACGCATGCATCTCTGAGAACTACAATGCGAAACACGTTTCACATTTCATTTTCAAGGACAGATTCAGAAACTCGGTACCTCCACATTTCTGAAAGACTGAAACCAATGTTGTGGTAGTGGTCTAAAGCGAAGCAATCTACTGCCATTACTTCAACAGTCTACTCCAACATACCACTTCTCCAAGAGAAAAGCTGTGCAGAAGCAAAAAGTTATTTGAATAGCAAATATTCCCAGGAGTGGCAAAGGCCAGTCCAGCTTCAGCTCCCGCTCCCTCAGTGGGGGCAGAGGGCACCTATGTACGACCTGGCAGAGGTCTGAGCTACTGCTGGGCCTGGCAGCTAGAGAAGGGGACAAGACAGGGTGGGAAGTTGCTCTCTGAAATCACCAAGGCTCTCCACCCTTAACTAGCTTCACATATTTGTTCAACCACTCTACATGCAAGCAGACACATAGACTTTCAAAGGCAAGCTAGCAATTTAAAACAAAAACCCACTCCTTTGATTCACTGAATGCTATTTCCCCGGATTGTCATTTTATTGCAATGTAGCAGCACATTTTTTTAACTGAAAATAAAATACAAATCATGCCAATTCCAACAGAACTGAAGAAAATGTGAATACATTTCTAAAGGTCACCAGAAGAAACAAAAAAACACCACAAAAAAAACCCCAAAACACAGACATCAAAGTTTTCTGATAAATTTAACAGGTAAGTAATTATAAAATTTTGCAATTAAAAAAAAAACCTTAAAGCAGAAAAGACTGCGGCAATCTGTTGTATCTACGAAACTAGCACAAAAAAAAGAATACTTCTACTTAACTGTTTCACAACTATTACCGCACAGACATTAAAAGAAAATCTCAAAACTTGTGTAAACCAAGAATTAAGAACAGTTTGCTATGCCTGCTCCTTCGATACCTATGGCAGCTCATTTACACAGAGCACTAAAATTTCACTGTTTCTGAAGATTCAAAATTTTCAAAACTACTTTTCATGTCCCTTATTATGTCCAAAGACTGAGGCTGTAAAAGCACAAATTCATCATCATTTCAGGTAAGAAAGACAAGATCCACGTTCTCTGGAAGAATAGGAAGGACAGGGGAAGTCTCAGAGAGCAGCACCTTCTGAGAACAGCGTCCTCCCTTGGTGGACTTACAAGTACAGATAACTAGGTCATCTCATTCAAACACTACACACCATGAGCCAAAATATGAAGTCCTACTAAAATGCCATCAGGTCCAGGACAGTTACTGTTCTCTTGGATAGACAAATCCAAAAGAGAACTATTACAATGGACTCAAATCAGCACTGCACTCTTGCCAGACAACACAGCCAGCATCATTACGTGGGTTAAGAAATAGGACTTCACATTGTAACATATGTACAGAAACACTTCATATTTCTATGTTATCAGACCACGATGGTATTCATATTTGCATTCTAAAAACTCAAACACGAAATAGCTGACTTACTAATCATGATTTGTAGCATCTTATTTAAAACAGCAGCAAGAAAACCAAGCAAAGGTCTGTAAAATCACAGCACAGCAAAGGTGACTACAGAACAGCTGCTGTCTCTTCCAATATGCAAGCTAACAGGCATTCAACAAAATTTAAAGTTGCAGTTTCAAAGCAAAACAAATCATATAAGTAGGTCAGCTCTCTAACTGCCACAGATTCCAAAACTATGTGTTGAAAGAGTGAAATAATTTCTTTACCACCACCCCTCCTCCCAGAGGCTATCACACTGTGTTCTTATATTCTTCCCCAGGTACCTGCTATTGGTCATCCTCAGGTACAAAAGACAGAGTTAGATAGTTATTTGATGTGGGATCACGGTTATGCTCTTTTCATGGGAAATATATTGCAACAAGGTTGCTTCCAGTGTTTTCAAGCCATATGTTGTAAAAGAGATATTCAGCTCCAGCTGTTGCTCAACTCATTCAAAATGCAACTACCAGACAATTTCATTTCCACCCGATCAGCTTAGATTCACGCCGCCTTTTCCTCTAAGAAGGAAGAACCTGCTTCTGATTGGCTTTCCCAGTTGCAAAACTATGTATTTTTACCTTGAGCTTTCAAAACAAACCACAACTCAGGGAAAGCATCAGAAATTTTTATCCAACTAGTTTTATTGGAAGGTAAAGAACAATAGAAGAAGCGCATGAACCTACTGATAGAACACACTTAAGTATTTTCTGTGTCCAATTAACGGAACTGCTGAGGAAAGTGAGCTCTGTATCTAGCAGAAGCTGTTGTGCCAGACAATTTCAGAGACTGGTGACGGGGACAGAAAATTATCCCAGATTTTTCTTCCAGCAAAGATCAGAAGTTGTTCTCTTCAACTGCACCCTTTCTTCTAACTCCTTCCAAAAGCATAATGTTTTAAGGACATTTAAACAGGTTGTCTCAGGTACGGCACAGAGGTTGTTTCCAAGCAATGCAGGAAAGATAATATCCTTATGATGCAATTTATTAGTTTTGCACTAATAGTCAAAGCTCATCTGCAAAAGCACTTTCAACCTCTGAAGCTATGTAATTATACACACATTATTAGCATGCAATTTAGCATTTTGCAAATACATAATGTAGTGCAACCCATCTTCCGTGCTCTATGAAGTGCCTAGAGCAAAATTTTAAGAGCACGTCACAAAATTCATTTCAAATATATACAGCACTGACATAATATAGTGTAAGCTGCTTTTTAAACATCGTTGGACTAAGTTAAACTCCACTTCTCATGAATATGCACCCTATTTTAATCCAGGCATTCGAATTTCCTATCAGATTTTTTCAGCTGATCTGAAGAAAAGGGTGGATTTACTGTACACAGTCACTCTGCAAGGAACGTAAGTTACAGTGTAAACTTTGCAACATTCCATGATGCTTAGGTTTTATTTACTTTCTGGCATTATAGACTATACAGGGCTACCATGTGTTTGTGCATGGTAACTATTCCATTTTAAAGAATCATTATTTTAAAGGGGAATCATCTTACAGAGTCAGGAGATACATAGCTTGTTGTCTAAAGCACCACTGTGTGGTCTGAGGTTTTTTTCATATATGTCACAAGAATACATTATTTACTGTGATTTTTTTAGTGTGATTTTTGACAATTAAGGTGTTCTATGAAAGTGTACCTGGGAACCATATCTGGACAAACACTAGAATTCCTCACGATAAACCCCAGATAACATGGAACACAGCAACCAAACAGGTGCTACAGTGAAACAACTGGATGAAACAATATTCACAAGTTTCTACTGTTTGGGTTTTTTTTGTTTGTTTGTTTGTTTGTTTGTTTTCTTTTCCTTTTAAATGAGGCGTCCCCTTTTCCCAAATAGGTTAGGGAAGCAGCAACGGTTTGGGACTCTTTTTTTTTTTTTTGACTATTACGTGAGAGACCAAAAATACATGGCTATATTTTAGTATCTCCAGAATAGCAAACACCAAGGCAGGGGAAAGATACTACAATAGTATATTATCATTACAGAGTATATTTACACCTCAGCTATCCTTCTTGCTTGCTCCAAATAGAGGTCCTATCAAGAAAAGCTGAGGAAAAGATGTCCCCAAAACATTCCTGACCTGGATGTGGATTTCAAGCAGAAAACAAAAACCACATCCTACTTTACTACAGAAAGCAATAAAGATGAAGGTTGCTGTGCTACAAGGGTAGCACAAAACACATACGTGTTATTTATCTCAGTCTTGTATTCTGTGCTACGAATTCATCCAGTAGCACACAGTTTCAGTCTGAACCCCTAATTCAGCAAGGCATTTAATCATGAGTAATCTCACCAGCTTCAGCAAGATACATGTCCTTTATTTTGAGCAAATGATACAAGTCCTCTACTGAGTCAGACCCCAATGAAAAGCGGAAGAGCAGATGTTCTCCTACCCACAGTACTTCCTGGGCCTGGAGCACTTAATGATGAAGGTACCTTCCCTACCTCAACCCTGTGACAGAGCTTCTACAGGCATGGTTTTAGTAGAATATTAACCAGTGAATCGCCTCTTACCATTCTTGCATTCTTTTCTCAAGTTCTGGAAGTAAGAATTTACTGTGGAAGGCATTTATCGATGAAATATTAGAAAAGATTTTGTTAATCACTTCAGCTGGAAATGAACCTCTGTTGGCTTCTTCAAGGAGTCTGGAATAGAATACCTGCAATACAGAAGAAGAGCCCCAAACCTATCAGCCTATTATCTTTCATCAATGGAAGACCACCTATCCACCCCTCCTACTCCAACTGAGGCAAAATCAGTATTTCAGTAATATAGACAGGTAATGACAAACTCATTTATTGTCTTTCCCTCACCAGAAGTTAAAAGCTTCTCCTCCCCTTACACCCCAATTTTTTTCTTGTGAGCCAGGAAAGCGCTGCAGGCGGAGCAGACATAAGGAAAGCCAAACTGAAGTAGTGCCATTTTGGATTGACTCCTTGCATCCTGTCTGTTTTAACAGCTACATCATCTCAGCTTTCCCAGTCTTCCAGTCGTATTTTCCACTCTTGCTTTCTCTTCAATTAGCAAGATGTCTGATCACCATTAGCCCAACCACTCTGCTTGCATGCCGTATCCCCTTATTCTTTTGAAATCAAAGTAGTTGGCAGACTATGAGCGGTCCCCACATACCATTTAAAGCACAAAAGGAGCCCAGTTCTGACTGGACTCTACTATAGTCTCTTTAAGAGATCCCACAGGGCTCTACCTGGCTAGATGCAGCTACAAAATGGCTAGAGACGCGTGCAGCTGTTAATGTGCACATCACGTAAAACAGTGCTTATGGGGAGCTATGGACCCTCTATCTCCCTCTCCCGTGTTTGAATAGACTGCTTCTCCCTAGAAAGGGCTTCAGAAGTTTGGGAAAGGACTTGGGAAAGAAGAGGAGAGTCTGAAGACAGGAACTTTAATAATCCCAACTGAGACAGCAATGGTATCTTAAAAGGAAAAAAGCCATACACTTTGACATATATTTTAAAACATTCTTACTTTGCTGCATCTCCAAGAGGACAGTTAGTTAATTTTGACAAATTACTTTGAAGACTATAAAGGTTACATAACTTTTTAACCAAGTTTAGAAACATAACAGTCCCTTCCCAGTTGTCTGCTTTCCTCTCATTAGCAGCAGTTGAGCAGCTGTGCTTGAAACTCATTTTTTCAGAACTCTGTCCAGTTAGTATTTGGGAAACAGGCATAAGAGTAATGCACTTGTGATCACACCAAGGAAAAGAATTGTACATTACCCATCAGAAAAACCTATGAATGAAGTAAACATTTTCTTTTTTTATTTTTAAACTTCTCTAAATCAAAGCTGCTTTTTTTTTTTTTTTCCCCCCAAATACTTAGTCTTTTAAAACACACACCACACCCATCCCAGTGTGGGTCAAGCTAGGTAAATCCACGTTCATGAAGATGATTACTTAGATCCCCAAGCAGTCTGAACAATTATTATATCAGTTGAGGCTTTTTACTTTTTCCTCAACTCTGTGTACAAGACTTATGCATTAGACCTGAGAAATTTAAACAGCAATGTCTGAGAAATGTATCACAGAGTAAGGCAATGCATAGCTATAGGTATCCAGGTAAAATGGATGTAGGTGTTACATGAGAAAGTAAACAAGGCTTAAAAAGGAAAATACTCAAGAACTAGAGACTTTCACATTTAACAAATATCAGTTTGAGTCTACAGAGCGCAGGAATTCAAACCTTTCCTTGCAGAAGAGTAATTTCTGTTCACTTCAATAGGATTTACTCTAAACATATCGTGGAGAAAATAGGGCATATACAGTTTAGAATGGGCATCTTCCTAGGTTCCTTGGCACTAAAGAAAAATCCTGTTCAGGTGCCTCAAAGATTTGAAAGATTTAGTAATTTTGTAGTGGGCAGGTGACTTCAGTATTACAAAACGATACCCTTCTTGTCCATGTCACCAGAAGCCAAGAAAGGACTGTAACATTATCCATCCCCTTTGTTAGAAGGGCTACCAGTATGAGGTTTGCAGTACTATAGCTTATGGAAACATTTACACACAGAGAACCTATTGCGTTAATATCCGCAAAATTCTAGTACTTTTAAAAATCTAGTGTTCTTAAAATAGAAACATAGGCAGTTACGTGGCAACTGCAAATGTCTGAATGAAAAAGTCAGCAAAATGTGAAAAACATACCACCTTTTTATATCATTTATATGCACACTTATGCATAGCTATTCAAGTGAATTTAAGGCAAGAAAATAAAAACAAATTCAAGAAAAACATACCCCATCTAGGAGGTCAAGTCGGCTAACGTAGGCTTTTTCTGTTTGCAGAAGTTCACTGGCAATTTTGTGCCGTTTCTGTTCATCTGTCTCCTGGAGAAAAATAAGAACTCCTCTTAGGATACTGAAGAAAACATAATTTAATACTAAAAAAAAAGTTGAAAAGACATATGATTACCTCACAGTCCAAAATGCAACTGGAATCCAAGTTTTACGTTTAGTAATAGTCACACCAATTTTGGAAAATACAAACTTTCCAGTGGTTAATCAACAAATACAAAAGTCAGAGGAGGATAAAAATCAAACTGCTGACTAAAACTCAAAGCCTAAAACATTTAGTATTTCTCAGTTTGTACAGGGATCTTTGCCAAAGCACCAACTCCCTGCTTCACAGATCAGCTCACATCCTGGTAGTCGAGTACCACTGACCTTTCAGAGCTGGAAAAACTGTTTTGCAGGGTAAAAGGGAACAGATGGGATGAGTCAGTGTTCGCCCCCACCCCCGTTTCAGAAGTTGAGCTGCATGTTCTTTGCACGACAGAATTATTGAAAAATACTGTACAAAATGTTTTATGTTCATCAATACACTCATTGCTGATTAATTGTTGACTGCAATTAGAGGGCTCCTTCGCTAGGTCGTTATGGAAGTCACTTTTGCATCTTAAGGGAAGTTTTCACTTTAAAGTCTTTGATTCCACAAAATATATTTTTGATTCTGCTGCTGAACGGAAACTTAAAACATTCATTTAAATTTCATTATTAAACTAAATACATTAGAATATAAAATTGTGACTTGCTATGAGAAGTTACTTCAAAACAAACAATGAAAGCACAGCCTTCTAAAATATTAAAACATTAGGGAAATCCCTCATGCTGACAAGCATCAGATTCAACAAAATGACACTTCCATTACAAGATTTTTCTTCCAGACTTAGTGCTAGTGCTCAAAAGTGTTCACATCTAATGACATCCAAGCCTTTCCTAAGTAAATGGCAGTCTTATCATGGTGCTTATGGGAAAGTGGTTATTTTCTAGACAAACTGTAAGAAGTCTTCATAAAAAAAAAAAAAATAAAGAGGAGAGCTTGAAAGAATTATTTCTGATTTCAAACCACACACTGCCTTCCACAAGAGTACGATAAACATTTGCAAGTACATTTATAAAGATGGTTTGCAGAATACCGAATATTAAAGTACAGTCTTTTCATTTAAAGGACTTCAGTGGCTTTTTTCTCCTTTTCAGTATTCAATAAGTATTCCAAATTTGAACAGATTTCAATTCTAATCTGCAGTGTTCACAGTCACACCACTACACAGCAAGCCTCCTCCCTAAATACAGGCTTTCAATAGTGACTTCAAAGCTGTTCATTAAATCTGTTTAAATCAGCATAGCAACCACAGTAACCTACAGAACAGCATTTTAAGTGCTGTCAAGAGACATTGCAGGGAGCTGAAGGACTAGCTATTACAGCCACAGCGTGCCGTTTAGTGCAGCCATTTACAAGGGATCTCACATGTGGACTTGAGGCACAAAATGACAGAGGCTACTGATACCTTGGCAATTTTTTTTTTTTTCCTCTGCCCAAAACCCCACTTTCTCCCTGAAGCACTGCTACAGAACCAATCCACAGTTTTCAGAAAATTACTTGAACTAATTAAGAGAGGGAAAATCACGCATAGCAGCCTTGAAAATTGAGCAATTCAGAGAAAGCAGTTAATCCTCACTCCTAAGTCAGGGCAAATCCCACTATGCTCTGACCCCAGCTTTCCCATCCCCTCCGTATCGACTTTACACATCTTCCTAATTCTTGAACCTCAGTCTCCTTTCTGTATCAGTCGCACTACCCGACTCAGGAATCTTCTATGTAGGGGAAAACATACACACCACAGATGCGTTATCTTTTAATCACAGTGGCACATTCTTATTACAGCTCAAGAACACCCACCTAAAGGGTTAGATCAGTGCAAGAACAACACAAAATTGTATCGCTAGTTTTCTTTTAGGGAAGTCCTCAGTTTCCCATCTCGCCATCTCAATATTTGCCCACATGTTACATGAACTCCCAGATGTGTTTTCTACTACTAGCTCTGTCCTCCTCCCTACTCATTCTCCCACTTCAATGTCTTTTCTAGTATCCCATCCAAAGAAAACACCTGGTTTCCACGAGGTCACTCCAGCTTCCCTCCTGTTGGAAACAACAGGTCACAGGCTATTTTGCTAGTTGTGGCACCCGTCTCCTGCAGAGCTTTTCTTGACAGAAGTGGCAGCCACTTGTCCTGAGCACATGGGGTGAACTGGGACCAGATGCATGGGTGGGCACATGGGTCCTGGCAGCGCCATGCTACACAGCAAGGCACATTTGGTGGAAAGACTCACCACCGCGCGAAGCCAGTGCTGCAGCCGGCATAAGCCAAATTTCCTTCTGCCAGGGAACTCATTTGCAGCCACATCCCAGCTCTGCCATGGCACACACCAAGCTGAGCTGCACCTCCACCCCCAGCTGCCCACCCACCCTTCCCTGGAGCCGGCACGCAGGGAGCAGCCAAGCTATGGGCTAAGGGCAGGCAAGCCCCAAGACGGGGCTCAGGTTCTGCAGACCCGAATTTGGCTATTCCGAGTAGCAGGAAGCAACTCTTACAACATAATTTGGAAACAAATCCTGAATGGTTTTTTGTGACAGTGAGAATGACATGGAGCCGTGTTATTAAAGCTGTTCAACAAAACGGCCTTGAAAAGCCTTGTAGAGATAATGGGGGAACATTCTTAAAAGAAAAAAACTTTAAAAACCATGGAAAACATTAACATTCAACTTCTGAGAACTTCAATGCCTCCCTAAAGAAGTACTGTATCAAATCTAGTAATTAACAGTAAAAGGGAATTTTAATTCTCTAAGTTACTAGTTAAGCTTTACTTTCATTTATTAACCATAAATGCACACATCTCTTTTCACAAGTAGAATAATAAGATAATAGAAATGAAAGAAATAGACATTTTTTTTTCTGGAGAAGTTTTATATTTATCTGCTACGATTTCTTTACGCTTTTAGTACATTAGTATTTAGATTGGGTTCTTTGCAGTTAACAAAAAGTACTGAGACAAAAATTTACTACAAGGTATACCTGGACACATACACTATCGCTTCAAGCACAACTTCTCAGTGATTTCAGGGAACATTTCAAACTTCTATGACAATCCCTAACACATGGCAACTCAATGGATAAAAACAAACAGAAATGATTGGTGTGATATATAGAGAATGTTCACAGAGGTGCAGGATTTCAACGGCTGATCAAAATATCAGAAGTGTGAGATAGCAGTAGGTGCATCAGGCAGGACTGCAAACTTCTGTCTCTATACGGATACTTACAGTGAGTATTTCACCTGGGCCTAGTTATATATTCTTTAGTACAAAGTTTTACATACTTAGAATCATTACATTACTATGGATGCTTGAGAAATAAAAGCAAGTAATTTTTACCTAAATTGTTCTTGAACTCTGAAATTAAGAAGAGGTATGAAAAATGCTGCTGAGAGTATGAACTTTTTGCATCTGTGTTCGTATTTCCCAACACTGTTTTTCTATTGTCCTAAACTTGCAAAAATTCTGCTAATTTAAAGCACGCTTACATAAACCTGAATCCCAATATAGCCATAACTTATTATCCAGACCAAACAGGAGCCATCTCCTACAAAACCATACCTACCAACATGACAGTGATGCTATACATGATTCACTCCTATTTAGGTGTAGCTCTTGCCCCAAGGGCTTTGCAGTAATATATTAAGCAACACAAACAGAGGACAGATGTAGAGTATGAACAAATATCATTCAATCTCTGTTGTGCTTGTTTGTTTGTAACGCTGAGTTTGGTCTACAGTAACAGAGTGGGTTTTTCTTTCCTAAAACCATTCATGCCATAGCTGCTTCATGATCCAAAGCTTTCTTCCCTAAGTATTGGGAATATAACTGTAAATTTCCAGGAGAATGTCCTTTAATCTCTTGAGTCTTCAGTTTCTGAAATCAAGGAAAGCACTAGATTTTGCAAGACCTGAAATGAAAATCCTGAATGCTACCATCACCTTCGGGCATATTAACTCCATACAACAGTTCATTGCACAAATGATGGGTGAGTTTCTTGCATAGCAACCAACAAAAAAGCAGTAAAGATCCTGGTATCCCTAAAGAAGTGATTCTTCTCAAGAAGATTTATGCATTTATATTGGGTGCTAAAGATATACAGTTTTGTTCATGATTTACTGTTGCTAAAGAGGACCATGAAATTGTAGAGCCAGGAAGAAGCAGTAGAACCTCTGAAGTGTTGCAACAGTAAAACATTTCTTGGCAGAAAGTTAACTTAGCAAGAAAGTTTCACCCTACCTAATCAAAACTTCACCTTACATTTAGAAATATATGATCTCCACAAGGTCTTGCATCTGAAACACCAGAGCCCCCAACACTGCCATTAAAAGGAGACATCAACCAAGAGCTTTATTAAAGATGCGTAATGGATTCTTCTCCATCTGTGGCATGCATGCAGTCTATATCCCTATTCCCTACCAGTCTCACAACAAATACCGAAGCATTTGTCTTCTTGTCTTCAGTTAGCTCTAGCAGCAGATTTCTCACAAGATGTTATTCAGGAAGTTAATTGATTGGGGTGTTCTTGTACTATTCAGCCTCCGCGTTTTAGGCAAACCAAATTTTATGACAGAAGGTGTTTCTGCTGCAAGGCAGGAAACTTTTAACTTTTAATTGTCTTTTTGCTTGTGATATTTGTGGTTTGTGACTTCAAACTAATTCAGTAAATATGAGAAATAAAGCATACTCTACTCTGGTCATTTGGGGAAAATGTTTAAGAAGAATGCCAAATTTAGTAAGTTTTGTCTCAACTTTTCCAGAACCTGCAAGAATCTGACTTGAGTCAAACCTACAGTGATAAGGGGAAAAAAATAATTCTAAGAGCAACATTATTTCAAAATAAGCTTTCTTTTCCAAGTCTAAAAAATAATTGCTGCTCTGGTTTTGCACCATTCCCCAATTTAATTCACCCTTTCCAGGACTAGACTTAATTTACTTCTGCTGTACATGTATGCATTTACAAAGAGATAGCACCACTTTCTTCTCTTCCTTGAATTAGGAAATAGGGCATGCAAGAGATAAAGAAGATACTTTGCATCAGTATCAAAATATATATAACAGATGCGTAATTTAAAGTTTGTCTATAACTCACATGCATCTGCTCCTATTACTTTTACTCAATTGTACCTACGCTTGCTTAATTAAAAAGAGTAAAAGGGTGCTGTAAGTCAGCACAGTGCAACTTCAACTGGACTGCATCCCAGTTTTAAGATTCTTCACTGACTAAGTGGGCGCTTAGCAAAATCACAGACTGTCTAAATGTTCTTACTTCTTCCCAGTGCCTGTTTGGACCCAGAAACAGCTTAAAGCTCTGCCAGACCTCTCCTGTTCCTCATCACCCTCTCCCTATTCCAGACAGCATGGCAGCAGCTATTTAGAGCTCCACAGGACTGATTTCAATCTATAGGTTGCGTTAATCCAAAATAAATCAGTGTTTGATTTTGTAAAGCATGGCCCTTCGATTAGCCTGTGGTAGGCGTACTTCTTAATCTCACTAGACTAAAGGGGATGTATCGCAAGCAAGCTGGTACCTCAGGAAGTGCTGCCGTGACCCAGTTCAGTTTTACAGATTCAGTTCTCCACCGATGCTGACCTAAGAGTCATCCTGCACAGGTCTGGTTTGTTTCGGGTTTTTTACCCTTCAAGCACCAACAAACAATACATCTGGTAACAGTTATGTTACACATCATAATTTGACTTTTGGTCAATATAGGACAGATCACACATGTTGGTCCCAGCAGCTCAAAGACAGATCTTGATGAGATTTCTGCCATTAGCATTTGCCCAGTTCCTTCCTGGACTTTACAACAGGACTGCCTTCCATTTCTGCTTTTTCCTGAAAATGCTGCCAGCACCTTACTGTGTGACTTGGATTCAAGCTTAACATCATTGCCCACGGAGCATTCCACACTTTATTGGCACAGGGAGGGGAAACAGGCATTACCAAACAGGAGATAGAAACATAATGAGAGGTGTGGCAGGTTAAAGGTGCCTTGGACCGTGATCAGGCTTATGTTTAAACGGGAATCATAACGTTCATTCATTACTGGCAAAAACAACCCCCAAAACAAACAAGAAAACCCCCACACCCCAGCGTCTTCTTATCATTACCTAGGATGTTTTATCCTGCAATACACAAGAATTTGAGATCCACCTTTCCCCCACGCAGAATTTACCCTCAAGCGTGTATGTATGTGACCCCTAGGTATCCAAACTCAAGGGCTTGGAGAGGTCTGTAGTTAACTGTTGCAGGTGTGCTCCTGACAAGCAGCGAAGGGCTTTATCAGTGCTCAGCTGTTTGGCTCTGCGGTGAAGAGGAAGACTGGGAGGGTAGAGCCCAGCCCCCTCTGCCACGACTCACACATAGCACGGCTGGACCAGAACTGTTAATGATGTTCACTGGCCATCAGTGTTTCAGTACGAGAAGGAAAACTGCATAATCAAACTTTTAGAAGCAGAAATATGCACAATTTTTCAGCAATTAATTTTCCAAAGACAGATTTTCTTCCACCCACTTATTCCCTTAATTATTTAAAACCTTCCTTACAAGGAAGCTCAAATTCATCATGGTCTAAGTTCTCCTTGCTAACAAGGCATATATTTAGTATACTCTGAACCTTGCGTCTATCTGATAGCTAGCAGATTGCCACTGCCTTTCCAGCTTTGACTTGACAACTACATCCAAGTTAAGGATTCGCACGACGGTTCTGCCTGAAGCCCTGTCACTGCAGTTTACTACACGTGGAATTTTATTTTATATACACCACTGTTATGTGTCCCTTGTAGTCTGGCACAGCTGAAGCATAGTGCTAAACATGTACACATATTTCAGTTTCAGTTTTTTTTACACCTCAAATAGCTAATGGGAAAAAAGGAAAGGGGGGGAGGGCGAAAAAGGAAAGGGGGAGAGGGCAAAAAAGGAAAGGAAAAAACTTTTTTCATGTCTTTTTTCAGAGGAAAAATAACCAAAAGATTGTCAAGTTCCTGACCTGCTCTTATTTTTGTAAATAAAAACCTAGAGAAAATACACAAAGTAGTAATATAGCAAGAACAAAACAATTTCTCTTTTTACCTTTGTTTCTACAGGTTGATCTCGCTTACTGATTTCCTCAGTTGGTTCTTCCTTCACATTAGTATTAATTTCTAGAGTTTCATTTTCAGATGAGAGCAGTGTATCACTGCTTGGAGTCCTGTAGCAGCTGTTAAGCATCTGTCCTTCACAAGCAGTCATACTTTGCAATGACTCTCTGGAAGTACTTTCTCTTTCCCCATTTATCAAGCTGCTGTTGATGGCATTATCCAGAACTGGGGTGGACATAGCAGAGCCACAATCAGGTAATCTCCTGTCCTCATCTTCTCTCTGGTCTTGTGCTACTACTCCGTTGGCTGTGCGTAGCTGTGCAACCTGAGTTTTGTCGGTATTACTGTTTCCCTGTTTTTGTAGTGGGTGCTGGGAGGGGAGTTTTGGCTGAGGTGATGGTGTTGACCCATATCTTCCTTGAGATTTAGAAATGTGGAGAACAGAGGAATCTTTCTTCAAATCACTAGAATTTAACGGGCTAAAAACACCAAACAAACAAAATGTAGATGAGAGAAAAATTAAACATGGCATTATAGCAAATCCCTGGTACAGGGAGCAGGAGAGTTGCACCATATAACCAATTCCTCCCAAACCATTTTTTCCTGTGTTGATATTAGGAAGTTCCGGCCATCGAGACTTGAATGGCATTATTCCATTAAAACACACACAAACATGCATTTCTTACTGGAAACCCAGAGTGCCATCCATATTGATTCATTACATCCTCATGTGTCTTGAATCTCATTTGTAAAGCGGAAGACAGTGTGATTAGCTACATGTGACAGATAAGGGAACCAAGGCACCGATACATGAAGCAACTTGCCCAAAGCGTCCCAGATTATTGGCAGAAATGGCGAAAGACTCAGGGTCTCCCAAGTCCCAGGCCAATGCTTAAACTAAAAAGTAGCCTGTTCACTAACTGTCCTTTAATTATACAAAATGCATGAAAAACGTCCAAGAACATTTAGCACCCCTTTCCTTAGTTCAGCATATTTCAGGAGGAGCTTTAAATTCTTATCCCATTTTACCCCCAGTTTCCTTATTTAGCAGTGTCCTTTCATCATGCTGCATCTTTTCTGAAGGTTTTTCCCCCTCCCTATTTTATCTCCGCTTAAAACATATGTTATCCCTTGTTTGTATCTTTCACTATCTCTTTCTCTGTTTTATTTTTGAGATTTTGAATTTTAGACTAATGTAAATGTTAGCGTACTCTGTAAAAGTGCTTGGCTTCATTATAGTTTAAAAACAAACAAACAAACAAAAAAAAATCATTGGAACCAAAAGAAAACCTATACATTTTTGTCTGAAGTACATTTAACAAGCCATATTGAACTTGCAAACCGATACCATGACTGTCCTCTAACTTATTGTTCCTAGTATGGATCATTAATCTTCTGGAAAGATGAAAACTGCTTATGAATTGTATGTTTAGCCCTTATTTACAGGACAGTTTACACAAATATTGTAAGCATATTCTGCACTTCCATACACAAAGTTCAAAAAATATCTTACACTAGCTTCATCTTTTTCCATCATATAACAAAAACATTTAAATTAGTTTTCCTTTAGTTGTATGAAGATTATGCCTTTTTTAAAAAATATGCTTAACTCCAAGATAGAATTAATTTACATTTTTCAATTGCATGCACACAGCAAAGAGGTTTAATAACTTTTTGCTATGCCTACATGTTTGTGGGCTGTACAGACTAATGAAAATATGTTATCATAATTGGCAATCACAGTTTGCAGTTCACGAACATGCTACCTAGTCATTTGAAGACCAATAATTACAAGCGAAGTTCACCTTCACGGAAGACACATTTTGTGAGTTGAGCTCATTTCAAAAACAGGAATTGCTTCCATGATGACAGCAGGATATTCCAGAACTTGGCATGCTAATTATGGAAGTTTCTCATAAGCAGAGATCATAGATTTGAGGAGAATTTAGTCATTGCCAGATACTATTGGGTGTACTTAATGAATGATGTTGGCCAAAAATCAACTCTGCTTCCCCAACTCCCCCAAAACAAAAATGCCCTTATTTTTAAAATTCTACAAATAAGAAAGTTTTCAACGCTCTCTTTATAGCTTCCTTTATTTGCATAATATTGAAAGAGTTTCTGTACAAACCAGCAGGCATGCCTAGGAGGTAGAAATGTAGGGCTCATTGGTGTAGGGCATGATGAACCTGAGGAGTTTCCTTTCCGAAAGGATAAAATTGTTATTCTAGGGATACTACACTGTTAAAAAGACCGGGACAATGCTTTGGAGGAAGACTGGGAAACAAAGTGATAACAGGACTGGAGATCTGAGCTAGAAGAATTCACAGGACCTCCACTGCTGCAGTAATTTCTTTTTCCCATCTTGGCAGCTGTCATGGCAGCAGTGCAATTAAGTCTACCTAATGACAGAAGTTTCTTGCAGATGAAGCACTGAAACGATTTCTATCCCACTAGGCAAATGTACTTTTGCAACGCTCAGCTGCTTGTGTATAAAGGATTAAATTTCCCCCATCTTGAGGGGAAATTCTTTCAGTGAAAGTCTTAATACTCTGGCTCCTCATGCTCCTCAGAAGGTCGCTCTCTTTATACAGAGCAGATATACTTGTAACTTCTGTTTCAGAGCTTATAACACTTGTCACACACATCTAAATAAAGACAGGCAAGTAACACTATTTTGTGAAAGCAGAGTTCACTGTCGTTCATGTTTCTCAAGGTTCCAAATATTTCCTGTAAAAGGCAGTATCAAAACTCAAAAATATCAAGCTAATCCACCAAAATCACTAAGTACTATGAAGCAAACAGTTTAGTGAATTGTCCTGGTTTCAGCTGGGATAAAGTTAGTTTTCTTCTTAGTAGCTGGTAGAGGGCTGTGTTTTGGATTTAGGATGAGAATAATGTTGATAACGCACTGATGTTTTGGTTCTTGCTGAGCAGAGTTTACACTGATCGAGGACTTTTCAGCTTCTTGTGCTCTGCCAGGTGCACAAGAAGCTGGGAGGGAGCATAGCTAGGACAGCTGACCCAAACTGGCCAAAGGGCTATTCCATACCATATGACATCATGCTCAGTATATAAGCTGGGGGAAGAAGAAGGAAGGGGGGGACATTGGG